CATTGTCCTTAGTCCTTGCAGGCCTGGAGGAGTCTTACAGCTGTGATGGTCCAGGAAAGGTATGCGAGAGGAGGGGTTTTTTTGGTGATATCTTTTATCAGAACAACTATATAGTTGGGAGAGAAGCTGGATAGTGCCCTTCCGCAGGTCCAAGAGAGAAGCAAACACAGCTCAAGCTAAACAACAGATGCAATAAAAGTATTTGCTTCTGAAGTAATAGACTTGACTTTGTTCTGTCCCCTATCTAGCTCAAGCTATGTCTGCTTCTCTCCCAGCCCTGAGGAAGGGCAGCGCGGGCCCTAAAACCTGTCTAACATCTCTCCCGGCTATACAGTTGGTCCAGTAAAAGATACCACAAAAGAACCCCCTCCTCAAGGAAGGGAGGGAAGGAGATCCACTTCATACAAGGAAAAGCCGAGGCAATGTTTAAAGCAAATTCCAGGCACCGTCGTCTTGGGGGAAAAGGTGAGTTTTCCACCTTCAGGTTACATATCTCAAGGGAAAAGCCTAGCAGAGGTGAAGTGCAAGCAGCCTTTTCCTCTGTCGTGGTGGTGGGCCTTGTTGCCACTGCTGCTGCCACCACCTGGGGCCTGTGCCTCCTAGCTTCCCCAAAGCAAAAACTACCCAAGTCTCATGTCCATGAGGATTTTACATCAGAGCCTGGAAAACAGCGTAGGGTTGGAAAGGGACAAGTGAGTTCTTGGCAGAGGTTTGGGAGCAGAACCCAGGTATTCTAATGGCTAACGCTGTGTTTTAAGAGTGAGACTCTTCCTGTCCCAGTTCATGGGCTATTTAGGAGGGTGTTGGTTCATCCTTCTTCCAGAACCGTCTGAACACCAAGTAGCTGAGACCCTCACCTCCACTGCGATGTAGCACAGCGCTGCAGATGCTCCAGGTGGGTACGTGCCATCTTAGGTGAGCTTCAGGTATTCAGACACATCCCCGAGTGCTTTCGCTGTTGGCACTTGGTGCAGCTATGCCATTGCGAAAAGAAACATGTCTAGCCTTCATGTAGGAGGACTTTGAGTCTTGAACATCCCACCCTGGCTGCATCTGAGCCAGCTACGACAAACAATTGAGTGGTGTCAGCAGCGCAGCAGCACTCAGCTAGTCCCTGCGGCGTGTCTCCACCCAGGCTCTTATGTGTATTGGAGCGCGCTGAGAAAATCTGGGCAGTGATCTCTTACTTCTGTCTATCCTATCACAGCTATCCTGGGATACCGCAGCACTCCAGCCACTCGGACACAGAGCGATGGCAGCATCCACACTTGTGACCGCATCCTCAGGTCCCTTGCTTTAGAGGAGGGACCAGCCAAGTCTGCTCCAGGTGCATGGTTGGGGCTGACATGGATATAGCCAATCGCAGCCCGATCATGGTGGCGTGCCAAGCTGTTTACTGGCCTGCGGTAGCTGTGTGGTGGGTGGGCCCCATCTGGAGCAACCCACATCACATACTCTGTTTAGAAAAAAGGCAGGGTAATGCTGCACCTTATAGACAAGCTGAGTCAGAGATGCATAAGTTTCCGTGAGCAGAAGCTTGCTTCATCAGATGCCGAAAAGTTGCATATCTCTGATTCTGTTAGTCTATACGGTGCATCTCTCTCCTACCTTATGCCTGACATCAGACTAACACGGCCAACTACCTCTCCCATTCACAAGGTTATGGGACAGACAGGATCTGACTTGGGATTTCACTACCCCAGTTTCACCGGTCCACCGCAGAGCGCGGATCACAGGGACACCACCCACATTAAACAACAAACCCAGGGGTTGTGACTATTTTGGGGGAGGGTTTAACTGAAGGAATTGGTAACAACTTGGTGTCCTTTCAGAGCTAACCAGAGATTTGCCTCACATTTCCACCTTTTGCAAGAGAGAGAGGCTGGTTACTCATTAATATTAAGTCTTAATTATTTAAGATCTGGAAAACCCAATGGTTCCCTTCAGAAGTTACACATTAGTCAACACCTTCTCTTAAAGGCTGTTTGTGCCGTGCCGGTTTGAAACAGGAGATTTTAGTTTGAATTAAAAAGCCCACCCCTACCCTTCAGCATGTTATCATCATCCTGATTAGAGCAACTGGAGGCTGCATTCAGGGATCACAGCTCTGTTGCACCAGGCATTGCTCAGACCAGCGTGTTTAAAACCAAAAAACCCAGCCCCAGCCTCCCAGATCTTATGGTCCAGCTTGTGATGATCTCTATTGAATCCATAAGCCCCTGTGCCTTCGTTGATCGTACCCGTTGCAGTGTTAGGGAACTTGCTCACGGGCGCATGGAAGGATCCCATTGTGCAGACCAGCGTGGTTGAAAACAAACCGACCACAAAACCAAGCCCCGGTCCCAGTGAGTTGATAGTCCAAGTCTGCGGCAAGCTGAGTGGCAGTGATTCTCAACCAGGGCGCCGAAGCAATGCTAGCGCTGTTGAGTGTGTGCGAACGCCAACACATGCTCTGCAAGATAAACCTAGAGATTTCAAACAGGAATCTAGCGTGTTGAGAGGGCAGGACGTTGTCACGGGCTTTCCGATTCTTTGCGGCAGAAGAATTGCTCTCTCATTTCTCTGCAGTCAAAAAACAAGTGAAAGCAAAGAGCTGGCATTTTCCGGAGAGGTGCCTCGAGTCTAGCGAGGGGGCCCTGGAGTCTAAAGGAGATGGAGGACCACCGGCGTATGCAATTCTGTTCCATAAACGCCTGTCCTTTCTAAATTTAAATTCACTGACTCTATTAGATGCAGCGTTAGGGGTTTTACCGAGTGCACCAGGCCCTCCGGAGGCAGGGGAAGGGCCCAGCCTCTTGTCTTTATTAACAAAAGTGCTGAATAACTCCAGATACGGTCCAATGTACATAAACTCTGTAACTGCTCTCAACAGTTGATAAAGTGCACTAAAAGCATGTGTCTAATGGCTGACACCCTGTTGGGGGCGGAGGGGTTGGTAATGAATAATTGGAAGCATTAGATGACAGACTGACTTTCCCACAGCTTAATGTGTATATAAGATCTGATAAGGAAGCTCAGGCAAAGCTGAGCTTAAGGTCAATTGATCATTAATCAACCATGCACTTCTCAGGTAGTCGCACTGCAAAGGCTTTCTTCGCAGTCTGCCCCGTTCCACTGTTTTCGGGCCCCACCTACACAGAGCTGTAAAATGTGTTTGCCGAACCAGTTTAAACACAGCCGCGGGTGCCAGCTAGGCTACGGAGATGGCCAGGCCTTCACTTCAGAGTGAACCCAGATGCCTGGCACCCAAATTGAACCTCCCTCTGTTGTGAACAGCTACGCAGCAAAGCCATGCTTGAGTTCCTGTGTCCTCCCTTTGCTTTTGCTCATGCAGCACTGGCAATGTGGGTCGCCTAGCCCATGGTCCTTTGGGCTGCCCTCGTTCTTCACTGGTGAATTGTGGTCTGCACATGCGGGGGGATTGTGGCAAGGTATTGGAGGACTACAAACATAACCTGAATGGCATAACCTGAATCCTCGCTGCAAAGCAGGCAGGTGACCAGTCCAAGTGAAAGTCTCAAGGGTTTTAGCTGAACCTGAGTTGAAAGCACCACCACACGCAGGCCAGAGTCTTTGCGTGGAGTGGAGCTGGGGGCAAGAGGCAAGTCGGGGCCCAGGTTAACTGCAATGAGATGCTCCGAAAATCAAATCGGCGGCAGGTGTAGAGTTGTTCCATCACAGTTCGCTCAGCGCAGCTGAAACACGGCTCCATCTGTCCCTGCAGAAGGGCTCGAGCCAGGGTTTAGCTGAACCGTGTCAGGATTTGGTAGCAGTGAGTGGTTTGGTTTGTCCTGCCAGCAGGATCTATGTTTTATCTGTCAGGGGACGAGTGCTGTAGCCAGCCTTTTTCCTTTCGTCTCCTTCCCCTTGCCCAGCTACAGGTGACCCTGTAGCATAGATCAGACCACAGCGAGGTGTTGCTTCTGTTAAATGGAGAATAATTGCCAGATGAGAGAAGATGTAAGCCCTGTCTCTTGTGACTGCATTGCAGCTGATGGCGCTCTGCCCGTCTCGCCCCTTCCAAGCTGTTGTTCCCTGAACTGCCCTCTCTGAATCATCCAGCGCTTTCTGCCTAATCTAATCTTGTTTTGTTCCCTATAAACTGTCAACTTGTTGCACCAGAGATCATGTCTTTTCTCTATATGCTCTGCCATCTAAGAAGGAGTTACAGCTCTGCCCTTTGAACATATAAAGTGTTTTGAAGTTTATGGTCCAGCATTTAGAGAGATCCCTGCCCGATGACACAGAGGATGCTGTCTTGGGACGTTCATAATCGTGTAACAATGCAACCTTTAATCAGGACATGGCCGTGTGGAACCTACCGAGTTCGTAAAATATAAAGACTGCGTTGTTTGAGCGCAGCTCGACTTGAGAGGGAAAGCGGTCGGCCGGTATTCTGTGAATCGTGCGTGGATTTCGTACTCCGAATATTGCTCCTGATGCCAGTAGAAAGCCGAGTACTTGCAAGCCCTGGGTTGAAGGAAAAGAAATACAGAGGCTCTGGGAGCTCCTTTTGCTATCGGTCTCCAAGCCAATAGATCTGCAACAAATTAAACGGGACAGCGTAGAGCCTTTCCACCTAGCCTCACTCCTTCCTTAAAGGATCCCAGAAAGTAGAGGCCAGATCAGAGAAGACCCACATGGGCTGTGCCTCGGCCAGAGGGCTCTTCCTTACAGCGTGTGTAGTTTTGCTCTTTTCCCTTATGAAACTGTTTCCTGTGTTTCTGGGGGCTCTGTTGCATTCTCCAATTTCAGTCCTTGATCGCTGGATCAGGGCAAAGCCTTGGATGCTGGGATCCGTGGTGTGTGTGAGCCACACCTCTAACAGAGACAAGGGTGGCTATAAACTAGATGGGCTCTTCAGGCATTAGGCAGCTGTCACGCAGCTGTTGTAGATAACAGCTGAAATGTCCCTTTTTCTTCCCCACAGCATCCATACTACTACCAGCAAACATTTGGGGCTCAGGTCCTAACCATGTGCCCTTTGTTCCTTCTTTTAGGAGCCGTAAGGATAGCTTAGAAAGCGAGAGCTCAGCAGCTATCATTCCCCATGAGCTCATCCGCACGAGGCAGCTCGAGAGCGTGCACCTGAAGTTCAACCAGGAGTCCGGGGCACTGATTCCACTCTGTCTAAGGTGAGAGAAGCCACTTCCTTCCTTGTCCTTCCTTCGCCCAGACCATCACAGCTAGATTGGTAAAGGCCAGAGCTGCAACACTTCGCTAAAAATGCTGGAAGCAGATGGCACTTTGCACGTGTTCCTCCTGCTAAGGTCGTTCCTTACTCTCCTGGTTTTCCACCGTTTATTTTGAGGGTTGAAGAGGAGAGTTTCTCTGATCAGACTCAGGCAGTTAGCCGTGCGATCAGATGAAGGGCCCTTCGTGGATGTTATCTTGCACATTTGTACGCAAACATTTGGCGTGTTTTGTACGGGCAGACACTCTGTCACTTGTATACCTGTAAACGCAGTGCCACGAAATATGGAAGTTCACAGTTCAGCCAGATTCAGAAAGGGATTGGACAGGCTCTTGGAGGAAAGGGGCATCCGTAGCTATTAAGTATGGGAGATAAGGGGACAGTCTCTGAATCAGAACTTCCTCCTTTAATGCTGGAGGCTGCAAGGGAGAGAGCAATAACCCTGGTCGGACCCAGTTCACCCTCCCTTCCAGCCTCCATTTTCTGCCACTATGCGACACAGGAGACTGGGGAAGATGGACCTGGGGTCTGACCCAGTAAATGTTCCCCGAAGGCCGAGGGGGGTGGCGTGGATATAGGGAGTGGCAATTTGTGACCACTCACAGAATTCGGCTACCGAACTTGACATAAGTGGAAGTCACATAAACTCAGCCTTCATGCCCTCCTTTATAAAATGGGCATAAAGCATCTGATAGACGCTGGGAACACAAATGCCTGGGTCATAACTTGAAATCCCCACATGGAAAGCATTGTAGAAATAAGCCTTTGTTGTTTGAGAGGAGCACATGTCTCTCTCCTAGTGAATGTCTTTTTGGACATGAGTTCACTGACGCACCTTAATCGTGGCAAGTGACAGGCAGCGGGTTACTGTGACATCAGCCAGCTCACGTCGAATTTGGGGTCAGCTCGTGAAGCTGACGGCAAGGTTTTGTGCCGTGGGTTCTGGATTCAGTCCCTGGGCAGAGGGAGGTGGAAGTCCCACGTCGTAACTCTGTCCACAACCACCATGGTGATTTGAGATCCTATTATAGTCCTGCTCGGTCTTCCTGGACTAGAAGGATTGCGATTCTGAAGTGAGGTCTTGGTATTAAGCGGGTGGGAGGACATCCAGGCCTCTAGCAGGGACTCCCAGCCCATCAAGAGGGACAAGGCAAGTCATTCATGTGTTTGTACAAAACGAGTCCTTACGCTGCCGGGTGAAGCCCCGAGAGCTCTTGTGAGGCCGCGGGTGCATGTCTGGGTTCCTGACCTCTCTGTTCATGTGTGAACGTTGTGCTCTCCAGGGGCAGGCTGCTACACGGACGGCACTTTACGTATAAAAGTATTACAGGGGACACGGCGATCACGTTTGTATCGACAGGAGTAGAAGGAGCCTTTGCTACAGAAGAGCACCCCTATGCAGCACATGGGCCTTGGCTACAGGTGAGAGAGCTTCTTTCTTCCCCATCCCACCCGCTC